ATAAGTCAACTCAAATGTATCAGAGATACATGAGGACATACAAACAAACACACAAAGAACCTAAGGAACTACCAACCCTAAACCCTTAAGTTTTACAAGGTTTGACAATAAAAACTATGCTTAAAAACTAGGTCTTGGACGACTCCTTATATAGGCTTCTGCAGTTGGGCTTGGACTGGCTTGGAATCTTCAATCAACTCCAATCTAAAGGGTGAGAAAAACACAATAAATGGGGGTTTGAATTGGGTTTTCTAACTATCTTTTTCTTATAAAAATATTTTGCAAACTAACTAGAAAAAATAAGACTAAGGAAAGAATAAAATGGCTCTTTTGGTTTATACAAGTTCACCTTCAACAAGGCTACTATTGTCCACCTGCCAAGGTGATTTTTCCCTCAACAAAGACTTAATCCACTAATCTCAACATATTACAGATGTATGAGTTACCCGCCGCTGACTAACAACAACCGTCTAAGAGTCCAAACTGACACCTTATCCCTCTCAAGTCTACAAACTAACAACCTAGTCACTTGAGGCAATAATCAATTCTAGAAAAAATTACAATCAAATTGTGTTTACAATCTTTGCTTCTAAAAGGCAAATTAACACAACAATGAAAAGCAAAGTCTCAAATACAAATAATGAGCAACAACTCTTTGTATTGAGAACTCTAAGATAAACACAAATAATGAGAAACAACTCTTTGTGTTTAATCCATAATATCTTAACATAATAATGAGAAACAACTCTTGTGTTCTTGATATTTCTCAAGAAGAATATTTGTGGATGAATATTTGAATAGTGATTCTTCCGTTCTCTTGATGTTTTTAGTATTTCAGAAATTTGATTCAAGCTTGATAATGTTGAGTAATTTGTCCTTCTTCAAATGCTGCTGAGGTCTCTTTATATAGACTTTGAGAAATAGACCATTGGTAGTACAAAAATGTCATTTTCATTTGCCAGCTACAATAACGATAGCATTTTATCGTGGCAGACAAAATAGTATAATACATAAGCATGTAGTGGAATATGAATCGTATTGACTGTACTATATTCTTTGTGGCTAAGTTTCTTAAGACCTTATCTTCTGATGGTTTACTTCTGGCTTGAAGTAGTAAGCTTGGAAGATATCTCTTTCTGATCTTTGTCTCGTTTTCTCTTTGCTTCATTATTGTAGAGTCAGAGTATTTCATATAGTTGAACATTGTCTTCAGATATATAAGCAACAACTTATATGAGGAACAACTTCTTTGTGAGTGAAAGCTTTTATGAACTATACATCTTGATCTTATCTTGATTTCTGATAATCAGCTTTTTTGAGCTGCATGTCTAATGTCTGATTTCTAAAGCAGAAGCTTATACTTGTACATCTAATTTTGACGTTGAACCATCTTGATCTAATATTTCTTTCTTTAATACTTGCTTCTGATGGAATACTTCTGATGTTAAATAGAAGTGTGTGTATTCCATGAACTATTCGAGTCTTCAGAAACTTGACTTTGTTTTCAGAAATATAAGCAGCAACTTTTCTGATGAACAAATATTGACTTCTGATCTTTGCATTGAAAGCGCATTTCTTGTACTATCTAATTTCTGATCTCAAAGAAGAAAATTGTCAGGAATTATTTCTTCTTGCGACTTGTAACTTCAGAAGCAACTGGTTATTGAGAAGTACACATGTGATCCTCTTTCTGAAGAACATTCGACATTTTTCCGAGCTACTGATGTTTCTTCAGGAGTGGATGTGAACAGTCTTTCTGATGTGCTTGGGGTATTTCTGATTCACCAGACAACGGTCTTGAATCAATTAGAATTTCTTATCTACATACTCAAGAAACTTATTAGAACTAAATTTTTTTACATATAAAATATATGTTGTTATCATCAAAATCCAGAGATCAATTTTAGAATCCAAATCTTGTTCTAGCAATCTCCCCCTTTTTGATGATGACAAAACCATGTATTTCGATGTAACAATTTTACACAGTAATATCATAATCAAATTCAGATTTAAGAAGAAAACTTCCTTTGATTAGTGTAAGCTCCCCATGAGTCTAAGACTTATAGTTTTAGAAGATTGAGATTTCTGAGCATTGTTTAAAAAAACTCCCCCTAAGTCAAACAATCCCCCCGACACTAAAACTTAAGACCTTATCATAAAGTATGATTTTCTGAGCATTGATTTCTTTGTCTGGAATTCTAATTTAAAGCGAATGGAAGCGATTTATCAGACATTCTTTCTTCATTAAAACCTTCTAACAATCAGATAGATTCATTATCATAGGTTGATCTATTAGACCCTTATGTATGTTTGAAGTTCGTTATTAAAACAACCGGCTGAACAAATTATCGAGATGAAATTAATGAAGTTGCCATCGAACAATTTTTATCCCACACAAAGGGAAAGGTAAACATCGAGTAGACCTGAGAAGGGTGAAATCACGATCAAACGACCGAGAGATCGGGTAAGGGAGTTGGTTACACGAGGGGAAGGTATTAGCACCCGATACGCCTGTAGTACTCTACGGTATCCACTCTTGTTGTCTATCTTATGGGTGTGTAAGAATCTATATCTAAGTTGTACAGGGAATGCATGCAAAATAAAAGAGAAAATAATGTAGGGAAAATAAAGTTGTGCTCGTTCGAGCCCTACCCCAATGCCTACGTATCCCTTTTAAGGAATCAAAGTAGCCGTAGTTCGGCTCACAAGTTTTGATTCGCTTTGTATTTTTAATGAACAATGTTAAATTCAATCATTCCACCGCTGCTTGACCATTGGAGACTCACATATCTATAGTGGAAAGGAAATAACATTCTCTCACCTAAATAGGTCTTTTCAAAATAAAAGGTGCCCGAAGGCGGATGATATTACGTTCGCGACTCTTAGCAAGTAGACATGGTGCAACCCGACCTTTGTGGAATTACGCGTCGTATTGCATAGAGTGGAAGTAACATGTCCTTTTTAAAGTCAATGAAATTCCCACAGACGAGAAAAAGATCTGAATTGGTTGATATCTTTTACCTTAAAGAAGAATTTGAAAATTGTTAGATGTTTTATGTATTTTTCAAGAAAAAGAGTTTCAGTCTTAATGCAAAGATGAAAAAGAAAGAAAAACATCTAAAGTAGACTATCTAGTTCTATCCCTAATGTTATCATACAATGATTGATCCTAAGGTTGAAGATGAAAAGGTAAATTTGTACCCCATGTTAGTATGCATGGATACCTATCCTAATGTCTAGCTCGAAAGCTACTCTAATCGAGTGATCCTAAGGGAAACATACAAATTCCTATTATAAGGGAACCTGGTATAGCAAACAAATAAGCAAACAAGTGTTTTGGCAAAAGCACACAAACATAAGCAACACATACTGGCTCAAAGGGATGGGGGAAACAAGAGAAATTCTTTAGCTAAGGGGAGCGTATTACCCGAAGCAAACAAGCGGAAGACAGATGAAATAAAAAAGAAAAGAAATGCTTTAGCTAAGGGGAGCGGATCACCTGAAGCAAACAAGCGGGTAGCGAAGTATCAACAATGGCCATTGCGAACTCCTGACAAAGTGTGGGGGTTGATTGCGAACCCTTCCCCACATGATCAACTTGATACACATGATCTGCACGACTCCGAAGCATCGACGTATAACGTGAGCTAAGGATGACACAAACTAGAATGTGCGAGGGTCGATTATGGACCCTCCCCGCTTGCCTCCTTTTGAGGACTTATCATCTGTAATATAATGCGGGCACAAATGTAAACACACATGCAGAATGCCTACTTCAAAGGTGGAATTTTAAACAACCACAATTAGCACACAGAAAGCGGTGCCTGCTACAGAACTTTAAGCAGCGACTTCGAGTGCACACTCTTTATTTCCTACTTCTCATGATATCTAGAAAAGTGGTAAAATTCATACTTCTCATGATATATAGAAAACGATAAAATGCTGAAATGAGAAAAATGAGAGAAAATACCCAACGTTTATCAATCCATAGCAAAGTGTATCAAAACAAAGAAACCCGACGATCTTCGCGAAAGCTTCACCAATCAAAGAAAAGAGTCAGAAATCAAATGCTCGAAATAAGCTTCGAAGCATCATCTATGTGAAAATAAATCACAACCGAAATCTCGAGCTTATCCGCATATCGCATAATAAACCATCATAAGACTCAAATCTGAACAAGCAAAGGTGAATTACAAATCTCAAATAATCTAATAATCGAGATTTAATTCCTAAAATAAAATAAGAAAGTCTAACAAATTTTATTGATTTCTTAATTTTTATCATCAATTCTTATTCCTAATGTTATTAGTTAAAAATTAAGAAAAGAAGATTAACGGAAGAAAAAAATCTAACAAACTCTAAACAGAGGGGGAGGGGATGGACTGGAATATGGGTGCATTGCTTCAATAAAATTCTAGGGAGTTAGGCCCACTAGATTAGTTCATGAAGTTGTTTTTATTCACAACTATGGCTTACAAAACAAAAAGTCGAAACGACCCTAGAAGGGAGTATGGCTCGGCCTATCCAATACCCAACATCCATTACAATCCAAATTTTTTGTTTTAGAATCACTTACTCATATTTTGTTTTATTATTATTAAAAGGAAAAAAGAAAGAGATATGGTAAAACACGTGCATTTTAATCTTGCTTAGGGTTAACAAAAGTGATGCTTCAACTTCATGAGAGAATTCTCAACCACAAATTTCCTCTTCAACAACGACGCTCTTCTCCTTCACTTCTCCGATCAAACGCATTGTCTCCCTCCGTTGCAATCGTCTGATTTGGACTCTGCTCGATTATTTAATTTCGTGCCTTCATCAGTTTCAATTCGCGTTTCAAATTTCTTATTCGCGTTTCGTTCATCTTTGACACGACTTCGAGCTTCAGTTCATAGATTATGCTTTGATGCTCGTCTACCTCACGAATTCAAACAATCGTTGGTTTCGTAGCTTCGTCAATTTCTCAGAGGTTCAACGATACAACAAAAACAAACGCATAGATGAAAATAAGTGTACATTTGAAACTTACGGATCAGAGACACTATGATGGCGTTTTCACAGTCGTCGAAATCCGAATAGAAATACAAAGTTTCTTCCAGGTACGCCATTTATTTATCTTCTTCGATTCACAATTCTTCTTCTTCATTTCTCTGATTCTGTGCATTTTTTTTGGCTATTACGTTTTCTGTAGTGTTGTTGCAGTTATGGTAATACGTGTAGAGGAAGCTATTATGGATTGTCGAAGTTCAGTGATGTAGAGTAAATCAATGGAATAGCGTTGTGTAGAGCTAGAAGCTTATAGAAGGACACATTTCACGAGTTGAAAAATTTGATTTGGCGAGATTCTTAATTCAAGCTAGCACAAAGTTTTGGAACATGGTTATTAGACAGACTCGACGATGTTTCACATGGTTTAAAGCTTGCGAGGAAGGAATTAGGATAGGTTTTTATAGGATAAAATTTTGTAGTTTTTTTTCTGATGTAATTATGTAATTGGTATTTAGAATTTGATGTAAGGTAAATAATGGTTGATTAATTTTAATGGAATTCAAATCCAAACTTTGAATGAATATTCTGGATGAATCTTTGGATGATGAATTGAGGTGATTCAAACTATAATAATATGACCTCGTAACTTGAATACTGACTTGAAATCAATTTTGAACTTCAATGATATCTGAAATGAATACCTCAAATCCACCTTAACCTCAATCAATAAACCAACACTTTTAACTTATTCTCCAAGAAAGTTAAGTGATTTATCCTTGAATCATATTAAAACTTCTATTCCATGTTCATCTTAAATCGATCCTCGATGCAACTCAAGCGTTCATGACAAGTTGAATCTCAGTTGACTTCAAATGGCGTGCTTGATCAATGAAACCATAGACTCAGAATTGAATCTCAACTCCTGAATGCTTTATATCCTAAGCCCAAAGTTACCTAGAAAAGCAACTTTGAAACATGATACACAGATATCTAATTGATGGAGTGAGACATAGGTGAATCTAAACTCTACTCTCTTATATCAAAACCATGGTTTATGCCTTGTAATCCCAATAACCGATTTAATTGACCCTTGAATGTTAGTGAGCCACATGAATTGGGAGACCAAACCCTAGTTTCGATGAGAAGTGTAAGCACAATGATGAAGCATCTTAATCCATGATCCACAAGAACCACATAAATGATGAAAATCCCTTTGAAAGAAGTCCAATTGAATGACTTGCACCCTATCAATGAAGCCACATCTCATATCATGCACAAAACCATGTATTTGAGAAGAGGATGACCTAATTCACAATTCACCACTTGAGGAACGAACCATGGAAATCAAATTCTATTGAATATGTATATCTCAAACCACTGTAAAAAATGCTAGCTTGTGCACCCACCAGACTTCTGAACCTCAGGCGCTTTATTCAATGCAAATGCATGCTATGTTAGTGCAGATGACCTAGTGAAAAGATGTGATTGCAATGCTAAGCCTAAGCCAGATAAAAGAAATTAGGAGGGAAAATTTTGGGGTACAACAGTTATCAACACTAGATCTCTAAGAACATTCTATACCCTAGAATTTCTTTTATCACAGTTTGATCAACGGACCCTTCCAAACATTAGAAGTTCTTTTATCATAGATTTATTTATTGAACCTTCTAGATTTTAGAAGTTCTTTTATATATATATATATATATATATATATATATATATATATATATATATATATATATATATATATATATATATATATATATATATATATATATATATATATATATATATATATATATATATATATATATATACACACACACACACATACATGTTAGAAATATAAGCAATGAGATTTAAAGATATAGGTATGTATCAAAATCATCACAACTGTCTCCCCCTTTTTGTCATAATCAAAAAGTTATTAAAATCTAAGCACAAACGAAACAACTTTTCATTGATGATTAAAATATATGGCAATGAAAACAAAACAAACCAAACAAAGAAGGGGTGACTAGTAAAATTTGGACGTTCTAAATTTTTTTTCCAAGTTTTCCTGATTGCCAAGTGTGGTGTTTGAAAACATAATGGATAAAAAAATGAAAAAGAATGAGGGCTATGAATGAATATAAGAGAGAAAACGTGACTGACTGGAGACACACAGAAATAAATGAATTAGCTAAAAAAGGGAAGAAACAGAGAAGGTCGTCATTTTCAAGACAAGTGTCTGAGAAAAAAATGAAACAAGACAATTGAGACACAAAAATAGATATGGCGCTTAATAATCCTTAATAAAATAGGTTTTGACATGTTCAAAATAGGGATACAACATTAAGGACTTTAACCTATTCTCAACAAATCTTTCGTTGCTCAAAGTATTTCCAGCGGTTTAGTTAAGATCTTGAATGGACAAATGTCTTTTCAATTTTTAACTGGTTGTTAAAAACCAATCTTAATGATCTCAAAAATATTTTCTAATTTCAAATGTTTCTACACAGATATCTTCTAACTCGTAGAAGTATTGGTGAAAGAAATTTTTAACCAAGTTAAACAATAGAAATTATTCATTCTGGACAAAATAACAAGTTTAAGTTCTTCAGAATGAACATAAATTTATCTTCAGCTAAGAGTTTTGTAAAGATATCAGCCCATTGATGGTATGTATCTATGAATTTCAAAACGAGGGTCCCTTTCTGAACATAGTCTCTAATAAAATGATGTTTAATTTCTATGTGATTAGCTCTAGAGTGTAGGATATGATTCTTACTGAGACAAATATCAACAATGTCATCACAGTAGATATGAATACCATTTTCATATATCTGAAATTCTTCAAGTTGATTCTTCATCCAGTGCATCTGCATGTTGCAAAGTGATTCCGAATTATATTATGCTTCTACAATGGATAAAGCAGTCGTTGATTACCTTTTGCTAGACCAGAAGATGAGGTTATTCCCCAGTAACTGACAGTTTCCAGAAGTGATTTTATGTTCTATCATGTCACCAGCATAATCTCCATCACAAAACCTTGATAGTTTGTATTTTGATATTTTCTTATACATCAAGCAAAGGTTAGAAGTTCCATTCATATATTTTATGATTCTTTTAACAACAGTTAAATGAGTTTCCCTTGGATATGATTGAAAACGAGTACAAAGACATACACTGAATAGAATATCTGGACGAGAAGCAGTCAGATAGAGAATATAGCCTATCATACCACAATAGAGCTTCTGACAAACCTTTGAACTTACGTCTTCTTTATGTAGAATACATATGGGATGCATAGGAGTCTTAGCAGGTTTACATTCTAACATGTTAAATTTCTTCAGAAGTTCTTTTGTATATTTGTTCTGTCGAATATAGGTAGCTTCTGAGGTTTGATGAATTTTAATTCCCAGAAAATACTTTAATTCTTGCATTAAGCTCATTTCTAATTCTTCTTGCATTAACTTAGAAAATTATTTGCAAATAGAGGGATTAGAAGAACCAAAAAGTATATGATCTACATAGATTTGACATATCATAAGATCATTTCCAATTTTTTTACTAAAGAGAGTAGTGTCCACTTGTCCTTTTGAGAAACCATTTTCCACCAGAAAAGAGCTAAGTCTTTCATACCAAGCTCTAGGAGCCTGTTTAAGACCGTACACTAATATTTTAAGTTTAAAAACATGTTCTGGTAGTTTGGTGTTCTCAAAACTAGGAGGTTGGTGTACACATACTTCTTCAGAATTATATCCATTTAGAAACACACTTTTGACATCCATTTGATATAGAATTATATTATTATGAACAACAAAAGATATTAGAAGATGAATAGATTATAACCAGGTGACTGGGGAATTTTTTTTGTTATAGTCAATACCTTCTTGTTGACTGTAATCTTGTGCAACCAGTCGAGCCTTGTTTCTGACGACTTCTCCTTTTCATTGAGTTTTTTTAATACCCTATTGGTTCCAATCACATGAGTCCCTTTGAGCTCTGGTACCAAGTCCCATACATCATTTTTGGAAAACTGGTCCAATTCTTCTTGCATTACCATAATCCATTCATTGTCTTGAAGTGCTTCATCACATGATGTTGATTATACTAGAGACACTAATCCTATAAGTGATTCCTCAATTTTCTTGAATGTAGATCATGTTCTGACAGGTTCAGTCTTATCTCCCAGAATCAGTTCTTCAGAAACCGTTAATCTCTACTTTTTCCTTTTCTCAACATGTATGATTTCTGGTGCTTGTGTTTTTGATATATCACCATCTTGATACTTTTTTCCTCATATTTTCATCTTCAGAGCTCTTTGCATTTTCATCAGAACCTAAAAGGATAATTTCTAGATTTTCAAAACTTTCAAACAACTTTGACTTTTCTGAGTCAAGCTTACCATCGAACGTAACATGAATTGATTCTTCCACAATTTGTGTTTTTGTATTGTATACTCTGTAGCCTTTAGATTGTTCTGAGTATCTTAATATAATACATTTTTGTGCTTTGAAGTCAAACTTGTTTAGATTCTCTTTAGTGTTTAAAATAAAACGTGTGCACCAAAAAGGATGAAAGCAAGAGATATTTGGTTTTCTTCCATTGTAAAAATCATACAGAGTCTTTTCTAGAATAGGTCTAATTGAAATTCTATTCTGAATATAGCACGTTGTATTTATGGCTTCTGCCCAAAAGTGCTTAGCAACATTTGTTCCATTGATCGTGGTTCTTGCCATTTCTTCTAAAGTCCTATTTTTCCTTTCTATAACTCCATTTTGATATGGAGTTCTAGGACAGGAAAAATCATGTGATATGCCATTTGAGTCAAATAATTATTCAAATTTTTTTTTTGCAAATTCTCCTCCATGATCACTTCCGACTTTAACAATTTTAGAATTCAATTCATTTTGCACTTGTGAACAAAAACTAGTGAACACACAATGAGACTTATCCCTGTGTCTTAGAAATTTTACCCATGTCCAGCGACTATAATCGTCTATGATGACAAGTCCATACTTCTTACCATTAACTGATGTTGTCTTAACAAAACCAAACAAGTCAATATGTAGAAGTTCCAAAGGTATGGAGGTAGAAACAACATTTTTAGTTTTGAAAGAAGTTTTAGAATACTTGCCTTTATTACATGCTTCACAAAGAGCATCTAAAGTAAAATTCAGCTTAGGCAGGCCTCTGACTAACTCAAATTTATTTAGATGAGATATCCTTATTAAGCTAATGTGACCCAAGCATCTATTCCATACCCACTTCTCATCATTAACTAACATT